GAGGGCAGCGCTGAGGGCGGGGAGCGGAACCGGTGCCGTGTTCGCATGGCCCCGGGATCCCACGGACCGAGAGGGCTGGAGGGGACCATCGCCCATCGGAGCTAAACTGCCATCGGGATTGCGTCCAGACGGTTCTGGAATATCTCCACTGAGGGAGATTCCATAGCCTCTCTGGACAATCTGTTCAGGCCTCGGGCTCTGCACAGCAAAGAATTTCTTCCTCCTGTCTCCAGGTGGAACTTCCTGGGCATCAGGTCCTGCCCGTTGCTCTGGTGCCATTGCTGGGCCCCAGGGAGCAGAGCCTGGGCCCTGCTCGGAGCCCTCCCTGCAGAAAGGGACACCCAGGGCTGAGGGCCCCTCTCAGCTGGGGCTCCAGGCTGAACAGCCCCAGCTCCCTCAGCCTTTCCTCATCAGCAAGGTGCTCCAGGCCCTTTCTTATCTCTGCAGCCTCTGCTGGGCCCTGCTCCCAGAGCTCCCTGGCCCCCTGTCCAGAGGAGCTCAGAACTGGACACAGCACTCCAGATGTGCCTCACAGGGCTGGGCAGAGGGGCTGGATCCTCTCCCTGACTTGCTGGCAGTGCTATTCCCAGTGCTTTCCTGGATCCCAGGGGACACAAGGACACACTGCTGGCTCATGGAGAGTTTCCTGTCCACCAGGATCCCCCAGGTCCTCACAAAGCTGCTTCCCAGCAGGTTGGCCCCAGCCTGTGCAGTGCTTGGGGCTGTTCCTCCCCAGGTGCAGGACCCTGCACTGGCCCTTGCTGAATTTCAGAAGGTTCCTCTGTCCATCTCTCCAGCCTGCTGAGATCCCTCTGAGGATGTGACCCCAATGGGGAGGCATTGACCGCCTCATCCAAGTCATTGGTGAACAAGTTCAACAATAGTGGGCCCAGGAGTGAGCCCTGGGGGACATCACTAATGACAGGCCTCCAGTTGTGGCACTGTTCTCTCTGACCAGCTTGGGGTTGGGATGTTGGCATTCCCATGCAAGTCTCCTTTGCTTGCTGAGCTTTTCCTGAGCTGGCTCTGAACAGAGATTTCCACCATATGCTAAAAGTAAGCCCTTGATGTCTCTAATGGGACATGCTGTTGTAAATACCCCGTTGTCAGAACATCAAGGGCTTTTTTCTATATTAGAATGTACATTCTTCTGCTTTTTAATGTGAAAACACCTTTGGACATCGTGGCTCCTGGAACACAATTCTGTTGGCAAGAAGCCTGTCCTCACTCTTGAATACAGAATCAATTAGGCTGGTAAAGACCTCTGAGATCATTGAGTCCAAGCTATAAGCCAACACCACAGTGTAAACTAGATCATGGCACTCAGTGCCACATCCAGTCTTTATTTATGCAATTCCAGGGACAGTGACTCCACCACTTCCTGAGATAGCCAGTTCCTGTGCCTAATCACCCTTTCTATGAAGAAATTCCTCCTAGATAGCTTAAAGCCCCCAGGCAGGTGTCGTGTACCACCTGGAAAAGAGAGATGACCTTCAAGCTTGTGCAGGTACAGGTTGGTTGGTCAGCCTGTGTGATCCCCAAACTGGAGATTTGGGGTGTAGGGAAGGACTCTGGAGAGTGTCTGGTCCAAGCTCCTCGCTCATACAGGGGCAGCGGGAAAGTTCCTCAGGACCTTCTACTGGGTTTTGAGTATCTCTCAGGATGGAGATCTCACCACAACTTTTTTGAGCCCCCTGTTCCATCTTCACAATAAAATGTATTTTTTCTATGTTTAAGCAGAATTTCCTGCATTTCAGCCTGTGTCTTCTGTCTCTTCTGTCACCCAGGAGAGTCTGGCTCTGTCTCTTATTCACCTCTGAACACACTGATATGATCCCCCCGAGCCTTGTCTTCACAGGTTGAATGACCAGGCTCTCTCAGTTTCTCCTTATATGTCAGATCCTCCAATCCCATCCATAAAATCATAGCATGTTTTGGGTGGGTAGGGACCTTATAAATCATCCAGACTGAACCCCTGCCATGGGCAGGAGCAGCTGCCTCATTCCATTTCTCTAATACTATCTGATAAAAGAATATGGCACAAATGAAAACAGCTATTTACCATGAGGTGTTAAATTTCTGCCTCCCAACCAACTCTGACATTTAAAGATCATCTGTTTCATGCAAGATATAGTGTTAGAGCAGGCAGAGCCATCAACCCAAACATTGTCACAGGGTTTGTTTTACATTTTAATACTTCCAGACCGTTTGGATTCTTGAAGGCCCATAACTTCCCATTAGGCGGTGTAAAACTTAAGCACACTATCATTTAATTTTGTCATCACCTACAAGAAACATCTTGTCTATCCTTTATCTTTTTTTCCTCTGCCTTTCTTACTTGCTTCAGTGGGCAGTGAGGGCCCCCACCATGCTCTCTTGGCAAAGCCATCACTTTGGAGGCAAAGCAGGCACCAGGACAGAACCAGTTTTAGCTTTTCCCAAGATGACTGCAATACTTTTCTGTCAAACCCCTGAAACGCAGCTTCAAAAGATTACGTTCTTGCTTCCGTACCACCTGAAATAGGGTATTTGCCTCACATTTGTGTCTTTCTCACTTGTTCTTGTGTCACAGGGATGCTGTGGATTTTCAGGTACTGCAGGCAGCTCTTCTTTAATCAGAGAGATACAGAATGTCCTGAGCTGGGAGGGACCCCCAGGATCAGCCAGCCCAGCCCTGGCCCTGCCCAGACCCCCCAACAACCCCACCCTGGGCATCCCTGGCAGCGCTGTCCAAACGCTCCTGGAGCTCTGGCAGCCTCGGGGCCGTGCCCATTCCCTGGGGAGCCTGGGCAGTGCCAGCACCTCTGGGGAAGAACCTTGCCCTGACATCCAGCCTGAGTCTCCCTGGCACAGCTCCAGCCGTTCCTTCAGTTCTGCCCCTGGTCACTGGAGAAAATATGTTGATCAGACACATTTGGTGTTGCTGTAGCAACAGACCACTGAAGGTGGTCTCCCACCAAATTCTTCTTCCTTCTTTTGCTGCAGACTTTTGCTTTGATATTCTTGTCATATGAGACTGTCCACTCTGGGATGCTTTTCCTTGGTATGAAGCCAGAGCAGATGGATTGCTGATGGCTATGCCTGCACTGCCCCAACACCTTCCTCACTTTCCACAGCTAACCTCCTGTCCTGAGACAGGATAATGATGTTTTTGTATCATCCCCAGTTATGTGTGTCTGTGCTGTCATGGACAGAGATTCCCTCCACAGCCTCTTCAGGTGCCTGAAAACAAAACTTTTTCACCCTCCTTGCTGTGACTTAACCCAGTGGCTGTTGTGGTGTCCCTGAGGACACAGCAGCTCAGTGTTCCCTGTGTGATAACAGGCCTTTGGAATACCACTGTGCCCCTTCTTGTCTTGCCCCCACAGCCTTCTTTTTCACAACATACAAATCCAGCCCCACCAAGCTTTTTGTTCTCTGTTCCATTGCTGTCTTCTGCTCCTCACTTAATGTCCATAATCCTGAAGCTCAGTGCCCAGTTCTGGGCACAACACTTCTATCAGATTCCTGGGCAGTACCAGACCAACTCACATAATCCCCTAATGCCTCACCCATAACTTATCTGTTAACACATTCTCTGCTTTCTTTGTCAATAATAAGATTCTCTGCTTTCTTTGTCAGTAATACTTGGGCAATGTGTTTTATTGATGACAAATACCCTGAGATACTCGATGATCAAAAATCCCGAGATTCCCTGCAGCTGGGGTGCCTAGTGCATAACACATAACATAATGTTGTGCCTGATACTTGGAAAACCTCAGGAGAAAAAGAGCTGCCAGGAGTGCTGGGCTGGAGTTTCTCCACACAGACACCAAAACGCTCTTTGAAGCTCCCGGTTGTAGTCCCACAACATCTGGAAGATCACCTTACATTGATTTTTCCCCTTACCATGCCAAGAGGCTGTTCAGGATGCAGGACTGTTCTTTCTTCTTCCTTGCTTTCCTTGTGAATTAATTACGTTCCAGAAATGGAAGAGTGCTGGTGCATTAGTTGTTAATTAGTTATTACCAATTATATTTTGTCAAGACCAGGTAGAACTTGTATCTCTAATCTGATATTTTCGGGAATAAATCCTACATGAGTTTTGGTAAGAAAGGCACAGTCTAGGTTAAAGAGCTTGTAGAAACACACAGAATGAAAGATTTCTTGGTGGTTTTTTTTTTCTTATTTTATTGAAGAGCAACAGTTGTGACAATAAGGAAGAGGCCTATGAGACAGAAGGTCAAGTAGAATTTTAACTTCAGTAACTAAAGTTCATATCCTTAAAGCTCAGAATCTGAGTGCAGCATAAGTATTGTGCAGTTACCCAAGTTACACGGACGAGCAGCCACAGTTTGGGAGGAATAAATGTCAAATGAAACCTTGAATTTAGGGGGATGGCACAGTGGAAATCCCAATCATGGGAAACATCCTTGTGGAGGTTGTATGGTTTTGGGTATTACCCAGCCCTCCAAACAAATTTCTCATGGATTTGCCTGGCTGAATTCCAAGCCCTATTCTGGGGCTCGCTGTGATGCCGAAGCCAGACTGTGTCACAGTGCAAAAACCTGAAGACGTCACATCTGTTTGAAGTGGCCATTACACACCTAAACTGAGGTTACGGAATCATACATGGCTCATGTTCAGCCTGAGGAGAGAAGGGTTCAGGGAGACCTTAGAGCCCCTTCCAGTACCTAAAGAGGCTTCAGGAGGGCTGGAGAGGGACTTGGGACAAGGGATGGAGCTACAGGAGCAATGGCTTCCCTCTGCCAGAGGACAGGGTTAGACGGGATATTGGGAAGGAACAAGTGGTCAGGCTCTGGCACGGATTGCCCACAGAAATTGTGGCTGCTCATCCCTGGAAAAATGGAGGGGATGCGTCCCAAGGCCAGATTGGATGGAGATTGGAGCATCCTGGGATAAGAGAATTCCCTACAGGGAATGGAATGAGATGGGCTTTAAGGTTCCTTCCTAATCAAACTGTTCTGGAATTCTATGATTCACAATCCTGTGGATTGTGAGTGGGAAGAGCCATGGGCACAGCAGTCATCCCAGAGGGCTTGTGCCACGGCTCGGAGCGCTCCCGATCCGTGAGGGGATCCACGCGTGTCCCCGATCCGTGAGGGGATCCGCGCGTGTCCCAAATCCCTGAAGGGATCCGCGCGTGTCCCAAATCCCCGAGGGGATCTGCGCGTGTCCCCGATCCCCGAGGGGATCCGCGCGTGTCCTAAATCCCTGAAGGGATCCGCTCGTGTCCCAAATACCTGAAGGGATCCGCGCGTGTCCCCGATCCGTGAGGGGTTCCCGAGGGACGGCCGCGCCCGCCGCCGCCAGAGGGCGCCCGCGCTCAGCAGCCTGGGCCTGAGGTGGCGGGAGCGGGGCTGGGTGGGACACCGGGATCCGGCATTCCCTTCGCCATTCCCGGGGCCGCCCGGGTTCCCCATTCCCTCCCCATTCCCGGGGCCGCCCGGGTTCCCCATTCCCTCTGCCACTCCCGGGGCCGCCGGGGCAGCGCCGCAGAGCTCCGCAAACAGCCTGGACACGGCAGCCCAGGAGTTTTCCCCTTTCTCCTGCACCTCATGTAGAAAGGGGGTACGTGAGGGCACAGCGGCTCGTGGTACAGCTCAGAGTTGTTTTTTTCCGGAATATTGGAACAGCAGTCAGCTCTCCGTTCAAATTGGCAAGAAACGGTGAATAGAGAGGTTTATGGTTGAAAGCTCTTGTGCATTCCTGGAGAAGGGAAATTTAAACACACCACTCGCTATTTCAGGAGAAGAGGGAAAGGCAAGACTTCGTTCTTCTCCTGACTGTGTCCAGCTCTATGCCATAATTTGAAAATGGTGTTTGCAAACATTTTCAACATCGACTGAACAAACCAGGTACTCAAAATTCACTGAAAACTGTAGGTGTGGAGAGCCCAACTTCCCCTCTGTCACAGCTCAGTTTGCTAAACTTTCTGCCTGGACAGCCATAGAAAATTGTCTCTAGCTTTGATCCAGGCCCACTCTGTCTACAAAACATTTTAATTACATCCATTTAAAGAGGGAGTAAATTCTGACTGAATGGCCAGGAAACACTCTGTTCCTGTTTCAGGTGTATATTACAGAAAGATGCATGTGAATAAAAATGTCAAAGATATGTCGAGGAATGATACAAGAGCACAAAAAACCTTTTCCCAATCTGATGGAAATGCCACCTTCTAACACTCACAAATTGTGAGTAGGAGAAAAATGGACATATGATTTAGGTTATTTTCTCGTGGCAGTCCTTTAACTGGGGCTTGACACAACTGGTGATAATTTGCAATATGAATCAACACCAGGGTTTAAGTGTTAGCAGACTTCAATCTTGGTTCTGGAATTCCAATAAAGTCTTTGATGAAAAAAACCAATTAGATTCACTTCTAAGCTCTCACGGATCTGTGAATGCAGGTATTTCACTGAAGAAGCTCCCAAATTTGCCCAAAACTAAGACACTTGTCTTCCTATTACTTAAATTTGTGATTTACTTAAGCCCAGTCAAAATAAATCTGCAATAAAGGAAAAAACAAATGTTGAGTGGTTTTTAAAACCCCATTTTAAGCCATTCTCCATCTCCCACAGACCACGGATACTTTGTTCAATGTGCAAGGCTCGCCACCAGCAGAACCCACACTTCTGCAGGGACAGATGCACTGGTCAGACCAGGTGACTGCATCAGCAGAAGCTGCACACACACAGCTCCAGGAGAAAAATCAGGGAGATTGGTAAGAGCTCTGCTCAGTCTTTTTCTAATTGGCACGTTATTGTAGAAGTTAGGAAAGAGCTGCAAACACTGGAGCAGTCATCTGGGTTAAGGGACACTATGCAACTCACCCACATTCCTAAATGGCATTTCTTTACAGTTGTGGCTGGAAAATGGAGGTTCAGTGGTTGTTGCACACAGTGAAAAGAAAAATGAAAAGTGTTATTCTGAGCATGTCATGGCCTTGCTCACAGAAATGCTGATGTTGCCTCCAATATATTGAAGTGGCTGGCCTGAAAATGAACTTTTTTTCATCATTCTGACAGTAAGGTTCTTATTTGATTCTGTGAGTTATTTAAAAAGCAAAAAATCAAAAATAATAACTGGTTCTTTGATTTTATTTTCAAATTATAATATCATGGAAGCAAGCTGAAAATGTCCTTCCTTCACAGGGAGAGGAAACTGTTCCGTCCATTAAAGTTGGTGTATTTAGCAAATTTGAAAGCCTTTGCCTTGCCTCAGTGGTGATAGCAGATCCACAGAGAGCATTCAGTAAATTACAAAGGAGCTGATTTGTTTAATGAGGTTTCATTAGTCACACATTTTGATGGATTCCAGTGCTTTGGTGCTCAGAGCCATGGAAGAGTAAAAGACTTTTAAGAGTCCCTGTGTGTCTGCAGCCAGCATCACACCATCTCAAACAGACCTTTGGCTTCACACACCACCTCAGCTGGCCTGGGAGCATCGAATGCTGCTCCCCTGAGCTGCTGGTTCCTCTGCAAAGCCAGGAGAGGATCTGCCAGAGATGTTTTGTGAGGCTGCACTTGTGTTGTGGCAGTTCCTGGGACTGAATCCTGCCCCACAATGCTCTTTACAGCAGTGGCCTTTTGGAACGTGGAGCCAGAAGGAAACACTTGGAACTGCTGACACTTTGCCCCATGCTCTGAGAAGATTCTAAGTGCCCAATTGCCATTAATTTCTTACTTGAATATCACCAGAGCACGTGTGGGGGCTTTGCAGCCTCTGCACAAGGTGCAGTGCTCAGCCTTCCTTAGGAACAAACTCTGACAAATGGGCAGTTTTTAAACAATTTTTTTTTTTAAAACAAAAAGTAAAAATCTTTTCAATTATTCAAGAATTCAGATGGATCTGAGACGCAGGCGAAGATGATGAAATTAAGAAAAATAGCTTTGTAAAACAGGCAGAAAATTCAGTTATGCAATGAAACAGGATAAATGTGTCTTAGATGAATATGAGACAGGGCTTTCTCTACAAACAATAAAATTTTTAGCCTGTTAGCTTCATGGAATTGCCTTAGAAATCCTAACTTCAGGCCATCCTGTCTTCAAGGTACTAAAAAAATTTACAAACTCGGTTGGGCCAAGCTTCTGTTTCTTAGGAGCAGTTTGAAGAGAAATGCAGAACAATTGTTTATAGCGTGAGCATGCAAGCACTTCTATCATTAAAATCCATATTCAGAAAAAGAATTTGATTTGCCTCAGACAGGCAAGCTGCTGGACCTGGTGCTTTACACAATGCTAATGCTGGGAACTGAGGGTGATTTCAGAACCTGTTGTCACCAGAGAGTCAGAAGTCTGCAGGATCCAAATGTCTGGGAGTTTTAAACCTGAGCCTTGTGCAGAAAAGCAAAGAAAGATCATTGAATGCTTTGGGTGTTATAAATGACAATATTATATTGGCATTCACATCCATGTGTTAGCTTTTGCATGATTGTTATTAATCATTAATAATCATCATTATTATTATTTTGATATGGTACAATTTATACTTTTAACTGGTTTTCATATAGTAAAATCTCAGCTTATGTATGTACTGTATAGCTTATATAAATATTAGTGTTATAATTATGTATTATATAATAGGCCTTAGCAAAATGTTAAGATAGAGACTAGATTAAATGTTAAAACTCTTTTATGTGACTAACTCAGAGAGTGGTGTAAAACAATTATATTGTTTCTCACATCTGCAGACTAGCCTCTCCAATTGATAACAGTGACAGAAACCAGAGCATCAGAGAAGAATTTATTGATCCCTCATTGTCAGGGAATGTGAAAAAATAGGATGAAACCACAAGAAGAAATAAAATATATTGACCTAATCTACATGACGTCATACAGACAAGTCAGAGATTAAAACCAAACAAGAGAGTTTCTGAGTGATATGAAAAACTCATAGGAATGTTTGAATAATGTGTAAATTCATGAACATGCATGTAACCCCAGCAATGTAACAGTATATAGAGAATCTTGTTTTAGATTAAAGGTGTGCTTTTTAGCCAATCACCAAAAACACCCCAGTGCTGGATATTTGTCCTTTTTTATCCCCTTATTAAAGTTTTAAAAATTCTAAAGAATGAACTTTGTTTGTTTTTCTTATGAGTAAGAAGGGACCTTGAATCTCATCTCATCCCAATGCCCAAGATTTCCCATAAGAAATCTTTTCCATAAGGATAACCATGGCCATGTTTGCTTTGCTAAGAGCACCTTTGGCAGAACCAAACAAGACCAAACACACTGGGGATGAACACAGAGTGTTCACGTGAGCACATCTGGATCTGCTGGATCTCCAGCTGCTGGGCACCTCTTACAGCTGGGACTGTGACAGCCTGGTCCCAATAACTATAGATCCAGCTGGGAGAGGGATTCCAAAGGCAGCCTCGTGTGTCTCTCCCTCCCCTTCACACACTCTTCCAGCAGCAGGTTCTGGGCACTCAGCTCCATGACTGGAGCTTTTACAGAATGGAAAAAACAAAAGTGTCTCCCAGCTCTATGTTTGAAGGAAACCTGAATCCCTGTAGAGCAAGAATCCATGTTCCTTTTCCCTCCTCTGTGCTGTCTAGTGTGTGTACAATCCTGAATCAGCCCTGCTTATCTGCAGGACCTGATGTCCCCTTCCAGCAAGGGCCATGACAAGAGAGTGTGGCTCTGGCTGCTGCTTCTCTCTTTAATCTCTGCAGGTGATGGACAGCTGCAGAGAAAATATTCTGTGTTACAGCAATAAGCCAAACAGAAATGGATTTCTGGTCACAAACCAACAGATTGGTCACAAACAAACAAACAAGAAAAACAGGTTAAAACAAACACAACTGACAAACACAACCACTCTAAAGCAAAAAAAAAAAACAAAACCAAACCAACCAACTCAAAACCCAACAGCAACAACAAAAAAATCCCAAACAAACAAAACAAAACACAAAATAAAAAAAATTAGGGAGAAAAAGAAAAAGAGGAAAAAAAGGTAGCAATTAACATCCTGGAGGAGACTGGAGCAGAGGAGGAGATCCATCTAATGGGGTTTGTCTTTGAACTGCAAATACAGAACTAAATACAAATTGGTTCCCAGCACTGGGTTTGAAAATAATGATGCAGGTCCAGAAAAGACAGGCATCGGGTGGAAAAGTGAAGCAGGCACCCCTTCTGATCTGCCAGTAGCACCATCATCTTCCCAGTGCAGCTGTCTGGAAAACTCTGGACCCCCAAAGAGTAAATTCTGTATAAATATTTCCCACAATAGTATGTTTTCCCATAAGTATTTCTTTCATGGTAAGACAGCCATGACATTCCTAACAAGTAAACATCTGCCTTTAAACAAAAAAATACTTTTGTTTATACTGAGACAAGTGAGAAAACCGAAAGTCAGGAGCCCAAGCTGCAGAAGTGAAAACCATATTTCTTCCCCAGATAGTTTGATCTCTAAATCATCTGAAGTCGTGGGCAAAGCAGCTGAAACGTGCCTGGAGATTTATGAAGCATTACCTCACACCCAGCTGCTTTGTTGCCCTCAAACATTACACTCTCATCTGGCTGCATTTTCCACTCCACACAACTGATTTTAATTTTCAGTCAGGTGTTAATGTAAGAATACGAGTGCCACAATGATTTGTCCATCCCCATCTATATTTTGAAAAAGTACAAGTAGTTAGTTACTAAAATATGCTCTAAGACCATATTTTAAGAGCTGGGAGGTTTGCATTGTTTGAAGGCCTCTAACAGCACCCTTGAGAGCACCTTTCATTTTTGCTGACTTCCTAAATGATGAAGCAACAGTCATGGCCAAGACTGGACCCAAGTCCTGCAGGAAGATGATGTTTACTTGAAACACTCAAATGATTTAGCCCAAGAGTTTCTGAGTTTTGAGTGAAAATCTGCCCTGGTGAAAGGGCAGATTCTGGCTCAGTGGAGGGAGACTGTTCATTCTGTAATGAAACCCTTTCTCCAGAGAAGCCCCTTTGGAGACAGCCTGACTTCCAGGAGTTCCAGCATATGACTGTTTCAACACTTCCTCCCTGGACTGTGAGCACCACATCTTTGCAGCAGCACTAGGAAAGGAGTAAAACCCTTCTACATGCCTCTTTCCCCTGAAAATTTTACCCAGATTTGGGGATTCCTTGCACAAAAAGTGTCTTGGACCATCTCACTTCAATTCCACTGCCTGTCAGAACAAAGCCCAGCTTTGCCATGGCTGACACTGGGTTTGTGGCTATTGTTCTGCTCTGGATTACACATTGCTCCCAAACCACAGGCTGCAGAGCCCAGGGATCCTGATGGTCAGCATTTCCCTGCCGTTTGCATCTCCTTCTCTTTGGCACCCCTTGAGGACACGACTCAAGTGATTTTCTGAGCTTTATAAAGAACACTTTATAAAAAGGGTTGAAAACTCTGAAATAAGGGCTTTTTAGCCTCCTGAAAATAAACCTCGGCTGTTTGCGATAAGAACCCTTGCTTCATTCATTGTGTCCACTAGAGACACTGAGTCACAACCAAATGTATGACTTTATTATTGCTGCAGCAGTGATGAAGCCAAACCACAGCAAACAGCAAGGAACAGTAAGCCAGGACAGAGATAAATCCAGCCCATAAAGTCATGTTTAGCTCATCCACTCACCAGTAACTTGGAGATTTCTTTTGTCCCTGACTCTTGCCTTTCCCATGCATGTATCTCTCTTTTAAGCACAATCTGGAGCTTTCCCCATCCCCAGAGATAAACAAGCCCTGGCTGGATACCAGATGCCCACTAAGCCTCTTGGAAATGCCTAAGACGGCATCCACATGGAGCAATCCATGAGGTAATTCCTTAGACTGATCCCCTCCTGTCAATGGCTTTTTTCACAGCGTGGGCTCTGTAAGTACATAGGAAGACAATTCCAGCCCTGAGAGATGTAGGAACAAATCTGTAGTCATTCTGACCATTTTCTCTTTGGGGATGCATCCTGTGCTTGCAGCCATGTGTTTTATCCAGGTCTGATCCACAGGCATAAATCCTGGGATGGGACAGTTTACCTGCCTGCTCTACCTGAAATGGCATTAAAAAAGTTCTGACAATTGCTGTAACTTGTAATACACAGTGAAATTTAGAAAATCCAGATCAAGAGTCATATTCTTTCTGAATAGGTAACAACAGAAGGATTCTCCCTGGAAAATCTAAAACAAAGTCTCTTAATATCAGAAACTAAAAATCCTCTTTTACAGTGATAATTGAAGCCATTTGTTGCAAGAAACTTGAACCTGAAATGAAAACAGAAATCCTAGCCATATACTTCCTTGGGGAATTTCAGCTTACAGACAGGAAGCAAACACTTTCTACAAATCAAACCAATAGCAGGTTTCCTGAAAAATGTAACTCGTTTCCACATGCTTGCCACCAAGAACTATTTTTAAACCTCACTATGAAAAATTGCAGGTCAGTGTTGTTTTACAGAAGATCTGAAAATTCCCAGCAACTGGTATCCATCATCTGGTAATGAGGTAATTTTTTTTACATTTTTCACTCTTTGTTGTCATTCTGGCCTCACCAAACAACTTTTTCAGTTTTTTGCTACAGGTTTAGTACTTCTGTTATGTGGTTTTAATGAGGCTTATGTGCAACTCTGAGTCCTTAGGGAAAAAAAAAAGTAAAAAAAAAATAAAATATAGCTGTTGGAGGAAAATTGGAGGTGCTTTACTCTCTGCCAGTACACTGGCTGTATTCAGAAGCCACTGCTGCTGTTTAGAAGGCAGGCACCTGGCCTATCTCCAGAGCAGCATTTCTGGCAGCAGCAGGAGCATATCAGCACAACTCTGCCTGGTGCAGGTTTGGTTGTGAATGGGTCAGTCCAAACAGCAGTAACAGCTTCTGATGGTCTGTGCCAAGGATCACACCAGCAAATAACAATCCTCCTGGTCCTTGACCACTAACCATGAGGCAGCAGTGCTCGGAATTGTGCCCTGAGGCCCAAGAAGGCCACTGGGATCCTAGAAAGCACCGGGAAAAGCACTGCCAGCAGGTCAGGGAGAGGATCCAGCCCCTCTGCCCAGCCCTGTGAGGCACATCTGGAGTGCTGTGTCCAGTTCTGAGCTCCTCTGGACAGGGGGCCAGGGAGCAGGGCCCAGCAGAGGCTGCAGAGATAAGAAAGGGCCTGGAGCACCTTGCTGATGAGGAAAGGCTGAGGGAGCTGGGGCTGTTCAGCCTGGAGCCCCAGCTGAGAGGGGCCCTCAGCCCTGGGTGTCCCTTTCTGCAGGGAGGGCTCCGAGCAGGGCCCAGGTTCTGCTCCCTGGGGCCCAGCAATGGCACCAGAGCAACGGGCAGGACCTGATGCCCAGGAAGTTCCACCTGGAAACAGGAGGAAGAAATTCTTTGCTGTGCAGAGCCCGAGGCCTGAATAGATTGTCCAGAGAGGCTATGGAATCTCCCTCAGTGGAGATATTCCAGAACCGTCTGGACGCACTCCTGCGCCCTGGGATGGCCCTGCTGGAGCTGGGAGGTGGGACCAGATGAGCCACTGTGATCCCTTTCAGCCTGACCCGTTCTGGGATTCTGTAACACAGCATTCTCCACTTCTGCCTCAGCATTTTCTTTTTCTGTCTGCTTTATCATTTACGCATTGCAATATATAGAAGAGTCAGAAGGTGCTTTTTGTGTGTAACAAAGACACTTTAACCAAGAAACCAAACATGTGGAATTTAAGGGTATGGGTGCAAGTTGCTACATCTGCTGAGCTACTGTTCACTAGATAGACCACACTCAGTAAAATCCATAAATTGTGTGTTCAAAAGTTTAGGCAATGGTAAGTGCAGAGTGATGCAGATTAGCTGAAGACTCTTCAATGAGGGATGAAGAAAGGCAGCACCATCATGTGTTGGAGCTCCAGGCACAGAAAATGTCCCTTTATGTGTGCTGACAGGATCAGACACTTGAGAGAACACTGGGCTTAATTTAAGACCATGGAGAAGGCTTCTAAAACTAAGTAGAGACACTGGGAATGTGAATGTGTGAGTTAGATAAAATTTTATTAAGCCACTGGATGAAAAATTTAGAGTGAATTTATAGTAGTGAATGAGAGACAAGATGGAGGTTCTAGGGTGTTGGCTTGTCTCT